CCTCCCCCCCCCCCCAAATGCGTTACGTAATACTTGAATAGCCCCTGAAAGGAGTTAATTTGTATGATTGTTGCAGGTGTACCCGCTCTCCGTGCGCGGGTGCATGGGCGGCGCGACATTCTTCGTCGGGAACGTGTTCCTGTTCCTGTGCATCAAGTTCCACTTCGCGCTGGTCGAGGCCCTGGGGATGCCCGGCGTGATGACCTTCTTCGGGGTGGCGTGCCTCGTGTCGGGCGCCTTCGGGCTCCTCGTCCTCCCGGAGACCCAGGGCAGGACCATGCTCCAGATCGAGCTCGGCTTCATGGTCAAGAAGCGGAAGCCGCCACCGGAGAGGAAGTTCCGATACGTCAAGGAGGAGGAGCTCTGGTTCGAGCCGCCCAACGTGGATCAAGCACCGCTCGAGGTTCAGCCCGGGACGGAGGAGGAGTTCGCTGCCAAACAACCATAAATGGAATGGAGATGTTGCATGTGTGAGGAATTTGCGATGTGACTACTGAGTCGTATGTAAAAGTTCGCGAGAAACACGATGGTGCCACTGGTTTCTCTGAAATCAACACCCACACTGGAAAAAAAAGAATCTTAAATTTGCCGCCAAGAAGTATTTCTTCTTAAATCAAGAATTTTGCTGGTTAATATAAGCTACTTTTTTGCTTAACCCAAGCATTATTTTTCTTGAATCAAGAAAAAGTCAGCTTTAAGCAAGATAAAGAAAATTCTTTGCGGCAAAACCAAGAATTATCATGCTTGATCCAAGCTACTTTTTTTCAGTGCAAGCTTAAAAAAAGCTCTCAAGTTGAAGCCAAAGTGGCCGGGGATATCCCTCGCTATCCTGAGAGTCCGCCTCTACATCAAGACAAACTCTCTATGCAAAGATAGGAAGCAAATACATAAGCAGGGTTGCCGTGCTTTCAGTTGTGGTGTCCCAAAATATAATGGCAGCCCTGTCAATGTATTTGCTCCCTATCTTTGCACGGAGAGTTTGTCTTGATGTAGAGGTGGACTCTCAAGATAGCGTGGGATATCTCCTCCATTTTGGCCTCAACTTGAAGGCTTTTTTCGAGTTTGCGAGTTGATTTCAGAGCAAAAACCATAGGCACCATCGTGTTTTTCGCGAACTTTTACATAAGAATCAGTAATCAAATCGCAAAATTCCTCACAAATGCAACATCTCCATGCTCCACTGAGAAGAAAACTTCGTGCATGGGACCCGAAGTTGAAGTCATATGGATCTCTGAAGTTTTCTGATCACGCATCCGAAAACTTGAGGTCGAGCTACCGAAGTTTGGGTCAGACATCGAGGCACTTCGGTATATGCCGGAGTACTTCAGATGTGGGACCCGAACCCTTCGCGCACTTATGATTTTTTACTATTGAGTATGATACTTACCCTCAAAAATATTTTAATTTTGTTACGTGAATTTTCTGCATTCTGTGCAGGATTCTTATTGGAGTGAAAGACTGACGAAGGTGAACGCTATTAGCAACACTAGATGGACATGTGCCTTATTTCCGAATAGTCTTTCATATTTCTTCCTTTTTTTTATCCCTCCTCTTCACTGTTTTCCACTTCCTCTTCATCTTCCTCTTCTCCTTCCCCTCCTCATCTTCTTCCTTTTCTACCCTGTCTCTTTCTTTTTCCCCTAACTCAACTTCTTTATTCTACTTTTTTTACTCTTTCTCCCATCTTCTTAATTTTCTGTCCTCTCTTGTTCCTCCTCTTTTTTCTCATTTCATCTCTTTGCTGCTTCTTCCTCTCTTTCATTCTCTTCATCTTCTTCCTCCTCTTTCTCCACTTCCTCCTCTTCCTCAACTTCTTCCTCTTCCTCAATTTCTTTCTCTACCTCCTTTCCTCTCTTTCCCTTCCTCTTCTTCATCTTTCTCTACTATCTCATATTTTTGCTTCCTCTTCTTATTCCTCCTCCTCCTCTTCGTCTTATCTTCTTATACCTTCCCCTCTTTTCCTTTCTCTTTCTTTTCTTCCTTTTCCTCCTACTATTATTCTTATTTTCTCGCCACCCTCTTCCTTTGTATTCTCGGCCCTCTCTCCTTCTTCTTTTACCCTTCCTCTCTCTTCCTCCTCTTTCATCTTTCCCCTCTCTGCCTCTGCTTGCTATTCTAGCTGTTCCTCTTCATTTTATACCTCCTTTCTTCACTTCTTTCATTTTTCCTTTGTCCTCCACATTTCTTATTATTTCCCCCTCTTTTTCTATGTTTTCCTCTTCTACTTTACTTACTTTCTCCAACTGTTTCTTTTTTTCTGATTCTTTTATCCCTCTGTCTTACTATCTATTTCTTCTTTCCCGTCCTTTTTCCTTCATTCTACTACTTTGTGAGCAAAATTCATTAAAAATAAATATAAATAGAAAATTAATTTATGGAGCATTCATATTATATTTATGATCATGTAACTGTTATGGAATAGTGATTTCTCAATACTTTTGAAATGCATTTATGTGATAAATATCCTATTCCTTTATGAAAAATAGCTTTTTGATAGCATAGTACATATAGTGGGTGTCTTCACCAGATTCTTCGACTCATGCACATGCACGTGCTAAGCACGTCGTGCTTTGTTCTTCCATTTAAAGAAGCTGCAATTTTTGGGGCCCTATTTTGCTGATAAATACCAGTAAAAGCATTAAAGACTATTTGCCAATGTAATTTTTTCGCACCAATGCAATATTATTTGATCTGTTATAATTAAAAATGACACTCAATGTGTGTTCATCAATGCTCCAAATATGATTTGGATGCGTTAAAAAGTTCGTTCGAGTGTTAAATCATCCTATTTTCATACTGCCGCATACCGTGCTAAAAAAAACGCCGTATGAGCCTTCAGACGTTGTCAAACTCCTTTGTACAAATCACGAATTTCGGGGCAACTTGTGTGGGGAAAGGAGGCTTTATTAGTGGATTTTTCCTCCAAATTTTCAGAGAATTTTTTCCTAATTTAATATAAAATGTCTGAAAATTTCATAGACAAATATTCATAACTTTCCTGAAATTCAGTAAATTCCGAAAGGAAATTTGGGTAAATTCGAATGTTCTTATGGCGTGTTTCCTTAGCACAGCAGCACAGCAGCATAGTTCATTTGTTTTTACTGAACATTTTCTGTATTTTGTAAATATTTGTGCATAAGATCACGGATCACAAATTATTTTACACTGTAACATAATGACAATGAGTTGAAATGTCAGAAACTGTATTTTTTTATGTACGGTACACCAAACATATACATCAATTTTCACATGGTACTGTCTCGATGTTGCAATGAAATCCCTCGTTTTGCCAAAATTTCTTGATTTATTATTAAAATTTTCTCTGGTGCATGTGTGCTAGTTGGACGTATTACTACTGTAGAGCACTATGAGCAAATAAATTGAATAAAAAGGGGCTATTAAACTCGCGAAGCTCGTGCACATAGTTCCTTTTCATTTAAAATTTGCACATACTTCCATTTAGCATTAATACGCCCAGTTGACAAATCGTTAAAACGAATGAAGACAAATGTCGACTTCCCGTCCATACCCTAAGATGAACTGCATTTTGCAATTCGGAACTAAAAATTCTGGCTCATCTGAAAAGACACTTATGTGCATAGGGAAACTAATGGCACATACGTTGTTTTGAAACCAGGCCAGAATTTATAGTTCCAAATTGCAAAATGCAGTCCAGATAAAGAGGAAGAAAGAAATAGAAAAATATAATAATTTGTAGGTATGGAATAAACTCTAAGAACGGCCTTTGAATCCCAGTAAAATTAAAGAGGTAAATTCAAATCCTCAGAAAAATTCCTGTTCACCAGTATTATAATTTTTTCTGAATTATGAAATAAATATTTCCCTTATTTGTAATCTAACAGAGAGAAAGTTCTGATTCCACGCCTAATTTATGGAGCGACTGCAAAGCATCCCATCGCCATCACATGCATGCATACAGATGAAGTAGCGGACCTTAATATCATCAGGTGAGTACATCGTCGTAAAAAAGTTTGAGCCGACTTTTACTCAGCATATGATGTTTGTGATGCACTTGTGCGATGCAGAGTTCATAAATTACACGCTCTTGAACCTTAATACTACGTCAAACTAAAATCTTGCCAAGTTGTCACAAAAATACTTAAAATAACCGTTTCCTAAACTGACAAAAAATTAGAGACGGTTTCTGCTACCTACATTATGCGACCGTCCACGGAAAAGTGGACTGGTTCACCGATTGAATTTTTTCAGGAAAGGGTTTGTTGGGTTCCATCAAGTAAGTTAAGACGATTTTTTTCTTTTAATGCTTCAAATATGCTAAAAAATAATAGATATAAAAAATTAAATCCTCTTACTTTGACGAAAAGCATTCACAAGTGTTTCAGGTGTAAATTCTCCGAAAATCCGAGAAAAATTCCCGGACTGATCAAAATGAAATCCTAATGAATGTTGCCCGCAACAAAATTTATTTCAAGAACTGGGATTACTGTATTTTTAGGTCAACAAAATTATTTTCGGAGGTACAAAAATTTTAATGCGACCATCGGCATTTTCTCAGGGAAGAACCTGGGATTCTTGCTGGAACAGCTTAGGGGCCTTTCCTAAATTACGTAACGTTAAATTTGCGGTTTTTTGACAGCCTCCTCCGCCCCCCTGTAACGCTCCGTAATGATGTGCCAGACCCTTCTAAAAATTACGTAACGATTGCCTGGACCCCCCCCCCCAATTACGATGAAAAGTAATCTAGATATCACCTTGCATTTACTAAACGGATTGGCGTTTCTATTTAGTGAGGAAAAGTGAAAGTATTGCAGAGGAAATGTTTGAAATTCTTTAAAACTTTTATAAAGATGACTGCCGATAAATTCTACAGAAACTCAAAATAACTCACTTGAACTCGTTATCACGTTTCGCTCTATACCCCCTCCGCCCCTTGTAACGCCGCGTAACGCTGGCAAAGACCCACTCCCCCATCCCCTCCCCCGTCCACTCGGAGCGTTACCAATGGCGTGGCGTGAATTGCGATGGATCGATTGTCATGCAATTTAAACCTATGGAAAAGGATCGATAAACAGGGTGTTCGCAGCGAACACCTTAATAATCGATTCTTTACCATAGGTTTAAATGGCATTACAATCGATATCGCAATTCGCGCCACGCCACTGAGCGTTACGTAATTTAGAGACGGCCTCTCAAATACTTTTCATTTTTTTTCCAACAAATTTTTCCTGAGATATTCTTTCAATTTAAAGCGTCGTTTCTTTTCGACAGTTTTTTAAGTTAAAGAAACGTTATTTTTGCTGTCGTGTTTTTTACTGGAACTTAACGATAAATAAAGAACATTCCTTTAACTCCAACAAACCGAATTTTGTCAACAAGAAACGACTCATTAAGTCAAAATAATACCTCAAGAAAAATTTTTCCAGCGATTGTCAGGCACGAAAAATATTCCTTTTCATTCATCCGAAACGAAAAATCCTTCTCTCCACATTCCTTTCCATCCAGGAACGCCTTTCTGGATGTCAAGCTTCAAGACCTAGGTCCCAACCAGAAAAATTATCGGAGGGATTTTTCAGATTTGACAACGTCGGATCCAG